TTGCCTTGTAAAAATGATTCTATTGCTAAGCCAAAGCATTAGTAAAACAAATCTATTTTAGCTATTTTTAGCAGTGTGATTATAACTGTTCCAGTACTTTGGGCATTTGGAGAGGACATATTAATCCAAAGTTGAATGGTAGGTGACACACACTACAAATAAAAGAGCAAAAGAAAAATGTTAGTCATGTTTGTTTCTATTTTTAAAAAGAAATTAAAAAAATAAGTTATTTTATTTTTAAAAATAAAAAATTCTTTTTTAAAAATGAAAACAAACATATTTTTTCAAAAGTTTTTTTTGACTGAAGCAGCTTATTAGACTTAAATAATCTCAATTGGGAACATTCAGCCAGAGGTGGTAGGTGAAAGAAAAAGGGTGCATACTTTAACAGTATGCAAATCATTATGCTTAATTAAAGCTAAACGGTAGGTATGTGCTATTGGAATCAAGGGTTAGGTGTGTATTTCACCATTGTATTGTACCAAACCAACCAAGAGGCAAAGAATCAAAAACATATTTGAGATCTTAATTAGTTCTTTCAGTAGTTTGACTGGTTTCTATTTTTCCCCTATAGTTTGCTTAAATACAAAAATGATTGATGTAGTATAAATTTAAAAATATTTATTAATTGAAAGAGAATATTAATCAGTATTTTTAAAACATTAAATAAGAAATAAAAAATATTTTTTTATAAATAAATATTATCAACCCAGCATTCACTATTTCTAATAAAATTTTTATTTATTAATTACTTATTTAATATCTTTAAAACGCTTTTTGACAATTGCAAATTTACGGTGGTAGATAATAACAGCTCATAAAGTTGACGTAGTAAATTTAAAATAATAACAACTTTTACTTTTAAAAGCACAATTTTTTTTGCTAGGATGGTCAGCATTTACTTAATTTTAATTTAGTTAAGTAAGATTGCTATAAACCAATTTATATTACTACATAATTGTTTTCTTTCTTATGAATAAAGGGAATAACTTTAGAATTAAAAGAAATATCATTGTACTATCATTATAGCTTAATAGTAAAAAAAAAAAAAAGAATAAGAAATAAAGTCACCATCATTTTTGTAAGCAATCATATGTTTTTGGGAAAAAAAATAGTAAATATGTTAAATCTTATGAATTTTAAATTTGTAAAATTTGAGATCACAAACAAAAATTCATTTATCATACATATTAGATGTTAAAATTCATTTAAATGTGAAATATCTTAGCGTTACTATTAAAATAAAAAAAAATTATTTAATTAATATGAGACTAAAATTATGATATTTTTTTATCACCACTTCCATGAACCGTTGAAAAGTAAATATTTCATCACAAAAGATTCACTTGTTATTGTTTGAAATAATTTCAAAGAATATATATAATCATAAAAAAATAGTTATTTTACTAAAATTTTGTTATAATTAGATGTATTTATACTTACAATATTTTAAAATTGTTAATAAGTATAATTTTGTATTATTTAGAATCACATTTCAATTGTTATTAAAGACATGTTAGAAAAAATATTATCTATATTTTACATATTTAATGTGCTCTTGTAATAGCAATACCATAAAAAAGTTTTAAAAAATATTTTAAAATAATTTTTATCTCTTCGTGATTCAATAAAATAATAAATTTTTATGAAAAATCATAAACTTTATCTAAATGTTTTTGTTTAATTTTCAAAAGTTAATGTGAGAAACTCATAACTATTATAGTTATAAATAAACTTACATGGTCACGAAAGTAACAATAATCATAGTTATAGTAATAGTTATAGATATAACAAGAATTATAGTCTCTCGTTTATAATATAGATATTGATTTAATAGTTTTTTTATTAAATTTGTGTAAGATATGTCTAGGACATATAAGAAGAAATTAATATTATTATCGTAACACCTAATGTTACTTTATGTATTAAATTATGTAGTTGTTATAAAAACTTACTATTAATTACACTTTAGAAAAACTCAATACATAAAAATTTCATTAAAAATTGTACCATTTATTATTATCACATAATTTTTAATGCATTGATTTCAATAGTTTTTAATAAAAACTTATTATCAATAGTTTTTATTGTGTAATTTTTATGCACACAATAAAAAAATATTTTTTTTAATAATTAATAGAATTTGTATGCATAAAAAGTAGAAAGATTTAAATTTATTATTAAAATTTTAATAAAAATTATAGCATTTATTGTTATCACATAATTTTTAAGCATTGATTTCGATATTTTTTTTATATAAAACCTTATTATATATAGTTTTTTAGTGTGTACTTTTATGCAGAAAATAAAAAAGAATATTTGCATTACATAAAAGTAGAAATATTTAAATTTATTTAAAAAAACTGCTTATTTTATCTTACAATTATTTAAAGATTTTTTGTTGTAAAATAAATATTAAATAAAAACATGTATGTATTAAAAACATAAATGCCTCCGAATACGTTATATAGTCTGCGTATCCTTCTGATAATCCTCTTTATATTGTATAAAAAATATTAAATAAAAGTATTTATTATCTTAAAAATATAAATATATTCAATATTTTTATTTAACAATTTGAAATGTTTATATATATTAAAAAAAATATGATTTAAAATTATTATAAAAATTCAAACCCTTACCTTCCAACCAAGAGACGTCATTCTTCTCTTCACCAATAGCCACCAGCGATAGTTCACATGTTAATGTTGTTAGCAGTCACATACAACTGACAAAGATCATTACGGAAAAAATCATTTTAAATTGTTTACCTTACGTCTATAATTTTTAATTAATAAATAAAAATATGAAAAAAAAATTAATTTTTTATAAATACGATCATAGTTAATATAAAATTATTTGTTTTTTACTTAACAAGAAGAATAGTGTATAACCAAAGTCAACTTTGAAGTATGTCCCTGTGTTATTATAACGAGGGATCTTGCAAATTAAAGATGATTGACGATGTCATGAAATAAAAGACTTAAACATGTCTTTAAGTTTCATATCTTGAAATGATTTTTTATTTTTTATTTTTTGTCTTTGACTTATTTCTTTTTTAATTTTGTAATCTCTATTACTGATTTAGTTCACTAAAATACTACTAAATATTAGTTTTTTAACGGACTATGTTAATTAGAAACTAAAAATAATAAATGTAAAAAATTAAGAATTAAAATAAAAATACTAGAAGAGACTTTAACAAAAATAGTCATTAAAATGTAAATATAAAAAATATATTTAAAATTAAAACAAAATTAGATTAAAAAAAAAACGTGAACTTGTAGAACCAGTTTAAAGGTAAAAAAAGGCTGGATAAGTGTATTTACAGAAGAAAGTGTATTTGAGGGAGTGTTAGAAGGTATGACCTAGCATTCCTCAAGCTTTATTATTGTTACTATTATTCTTTTATTTCCATAATTCTCGTTATTATTATTAATAGCTGAATATTGATTTTGGGCTTTAAGGATAATGATTAGATACTAAATCTATGGCCCAAAATGGGCCTCGTGCTGAAAGAAAAGCTATTCCTATTCTGAGATAATACAAGGTTACAAATAATTGGAAAAAAAGGTTTTATAATTCTTTTTATCTATAAAAAAAACTATAGTTTAGAGTAAAAAAAATACACTTTTCATTCGTAGTTTTCGTATATTTTTAAATATTAAGGGTGAAAATAGATAAAGTCATTTGTTGGAAGCTTATGACTTAGAATTATTCACTAAATAAATCAGATTAAGGGTGTTTTGAAACTAAAAATTCAAATTGTCTAAAATTTTTTAAGCCTATAATAATAACAATAATAATATAATATTTGAAATTATATATTTATTTAATTTAAGGATTTAAGTTTGTTAACTTATATATAAATTTAGGTCTATTAACCTATTTAAAAGTAATTTTTTTACTTATGATGTTATTATAAAATAAATTTTTAAAAATATTTAGAAAATGGTCAATATGAAGTACACTCAGATTCTATTGTCTAGAAAGCATGTTAGAAAGGACGGATATAATTTAAGACGCAGAAATAAAATGATACAAATGTAAGACATTAATGTATGATGATATTACATATGACACAGTGATGAACGTTATTTTAAAGTTTTTGTGAGCATAACTTAGATCTAGACATATTATAATAATGTTATTTTTGTTCAAAATGGTAGAGATTGATGGAATAGGTGTTATTCATATCAGAGTTTATGCCATCTTAATTCATTTGCAGATACAACGGAGAGAAGCAAAGTTTGGATTCTTCGTCTACGCTTAGAAGAAGACGAAGCACTACTTAATATATTTTAATAAGCAAAATTATATTTTAATATTATACATACATATATGTATATATATTGAATATTTAAATATAATTTATAGTTTTTAAAAATACTTATATATAATAAATTTATTTTTATATAAGATAATAAATTTTATTTTTAAAAAGTTTGAATTAAATTAAAAATTAGATGAAAATTAGATGAAAATTAAATCAATTGCAACAAAAATAGTATAATTCACATATTATTCAGTGAAATTAATTTTATTGAATATTATCTCACTTTTCATATAATACTCTTATTTATAATATAAAAATTAATATATATCATCGTTCATGAGCTTTAATATACATAAAGAATAGAAGTGATTGAAAGATTTTTTTCCTGAAATTTATTTAAATTTATTTCATCATTTAAGAACTTAAAATTTTAAATAATATAATTAAGTGCTCATTTGGTTTAGTGTTTGTTTGTTTTACAATTAATAAGTTAATACTTGTATTTTTTTTAATTAAAAAAAATACACATTTCAATAAAAATATGTAGTTTAGATTAATGTATACACTTACCTTATTTATATTTAACGATTTAAAATTAATTTCATTAAGATCAATCTATTAAAACATATTTTATTTTAAAAAATTGAAAATTAACTTTATAACATTAAGAAAATAAATCCTTGAACAATCATGGAATAACTAAAGTTCGACCCGATCATCATCAGTTAAAACATGCTGCAACAGCAATATCTGTCCCTTTTTTTTTTCTTGACATATAAACTCAAGATAGAATATGAAACTAATTAAAGATATATGATTGCTAACATAAACTCATAACTCAATCATCACAAATGTAGCTATATATAACGGAACCGACAATATTTTGGTTCTTCTGCAGATACATCTCGATCGACTTCACAACTCACGAGTCACAACCAAACAAATAATTACGGATTTTTTTTTTAATTATAAAAGTCATGAAAAAAATGGCAAAAGTATCTATATAGCTTATTATAAGTGAACAAAACCACAAGACAAGTCCATCAGAAGCAATGCTGCCTCAGCTACTTCATCCCTTGGAAACACTTGTGGAAAAGCAGTGTTATTCCTCAAACTTATGGTGAAGTCTTTGAAATATTCAAACTTTCTCACTCCCTCAGATGAGGCTGAACTGGTTGTAGTACTGGACTTGTGCTTGTTCTTCAACTGTGCAAAATGGTTTGTTCGAGACTTTTTCTCTTTGTTATGCACTCTGGTCTTTGTGGATGCTGCATTATTCGTGGGAGTGGCCAAACCATTTGCTGCTTCTGCCATTGCCCTTCTTGCTTTCCTTTGTCTAATGCCACAGGCATTGCAAAGCGACTGCACCCAGCAACATGTTGCATGTTAACAAGCTACCCATGATGTTTATTAATAAATTAGTAGTTGGTGCTTTTTAATTAACTATGTATTCACATTTGACTTGTCTTTGATTATATAGATTTTATTTAACAGAAATTGAGTTGGTAGTATAAATACATTGTCTGTAATAATAATATGATGCATTGATATATTAATCCTTACACTAATAATATAAATGATTTACTAATATGATGTATCATGCAATTAATGCAAATATGTAATATTTATGTTAATAATTCTATCATTAATAAAAAATTATTGTAATTTTTTAGGTACAATTTTAACATATCCTTTTAATAAAAATATTTTTTATTTTAAAATAAGAATAATGGTTAGTAAAACCCTAATTCTATTTTTGTTGGATAAAATTTATATTAATAGATACGTTTAATGAGAAACCTTTGATAAGTATACGGTTTTGTTTTGTTTTTTGTAGTGATAGTGTGTTTGCCTTGATAAAAAGTTGTAATTAACAATATATACTAGCTTTATTATGAATGAATGAATGAAATCAGAGGGAAGGGAAAAGATTAACCTTGGGACCCTTAGGGCCACTCCTCCAAAGTGGGGTACTGCTTGTATTACAATCCGAACAAACCCTAGTGATGCTACTGCCATTGTTACGAGGGCTTCTTTGGCTGTACCGATTTTCGTACCCTTGATTTTGGAATCTTGAACTTGGAGAAATAGTAGTACTTTTGATTGCTTTGTCAGTGACTGGACTAGTACTGGGTCTCATCATTTTTTTCATCAACCTCATCTTTGAAGACATCCATTTCACAGATCCGTGACCATTTTTGCCATCTTCCCCGTCCATTTTGTGTAAGGATATATCACGGTCACATGCGCTGCTTGGATCATCCATAACTGGCGCAGGTGAAATGAAGGATGAATTGCAAAGTTGATTATTGCTTGATGATCCATCATGATTCAATACCATCTTATCATCATCCTGAAGTAAAGAGATCAAAACTCTATATATTAGATGCATATTCAGGCTGCTGAAAAGATTATTATCGTTATTAACTATTTATTATCTTTGAGAGGGTGTACTATCAACAAGAAAACAAATTTGACCTATATATGAACAAGAGACCAGCAATTAATTTGATGAAATTATGGCCAATATACCATATAAAATTGAGCTTAGAAATCGGACCAGAAAGTTAATTTTATTTTTTTAAAAGCTAAACAATATTATAGCTTCTCTTGTTAATCAATTAAATACCTAGTATATATGTGCAGAGTGTGGAGTGATCATGACCACCAAACGTTGTTCTTGTTTCTGAACACAAAGATCAAGTGGATAGATATAGTTAAAACATCCAATAGGGGGAGAGGATGTGTGTGTGTATATACTCCAATATTCTAACTAATTCTATGGCTCACATGATTAATAATCATGGAATTAAAATAACCTAGAAAGCAAAATAGAATTAATGATAAACACTAAAAAGAATATGATCTTGCCTGAGGATAATTTTCTCTAAACTCAAAGGCTTGCCTTGGATCAAGTATGTTAAATAAGGTAAGGCAGTCCTGATTATTAGGAGAAATGAAGAGTTGGGTGTGACCTTGTATGGAAGGACCTGGTGGTGGGTTCAGAGAAACAGGAGTCATGGATGGAGCAGATGAGAGAGAAGTGTGATATTCAGCAAAAATGGACAGTGGACAGTACAGAGGGATAGGGTGAGGTAAAGAAGAGGTATAAGAGAATGAATGAGAAAGAGGGTTAGCATATGGTGGTAGGGTTCTTATAAAAGGAAGGAAAGGCTAAAAAGAGAAGAGTTGTCTGCAAGGCATTCACGTGATGGCTTTCATATACCAAACAAAAGAAATTAAGATGAGACAAGATAAAAGGAGGTGTAGAGTGTTACTACTCGAGAACTCCACCCTATTAGGACAATACCCTATCTGCGGTTATGTATATACCCACTTCAATCTTGCACATATTTTTTATTCAATATAACTCCCTTGCTCCCTACATATTTAACTTTTATGTTACCTTCTTACTTTACAATTTTGCTATTTATGTCTTCGTATATATGAATTATCATTATTTTTATTAAAATGTATTAACATTTCATGTTATTATAATTAATATGTGTCGATCATGATTATTAAAACATTTTTAATAATAAAATAATTTCTAATATTCAAGGACTCATTAAAAAATGTTAAATATATTTTATGCAATACTTTTATTTACTTAAATATTTTTTTTTCATTGTTATCTTTCATAGACACATTAAAAATATATATATTAAAATTTTTTTACCAAACATTTAAGATTATTATTTTAAATAAAAAGAGATAAATTTTGATGTAACTCGTGGTTAAGTGTATTAGGATCCATGAATTTTACATTAAATAGTTTATGCTTTTTCTGATAATGAGATACTATCATATCCTTAAAAGTGAAAATAAAGATGATCCAAAGGATAACGCTATTTTTGCTTTAACAAATAATCAAATATTTTACTTAAGGGTATAAACAAGCCCGGGACTACTTGAAGTTCTTGAATTGAGAAAAAAATTTTTTTGATAAAGCTGGAATTAATTAATTGAAAATCTTGAAACTTTTGCTTGGCTTATTGGTTAGTTTTTTTTATGTGTTTATTATTATTTTATTGAAAATATTTTCAAATAAATTTTATTTATTTAGCATAGAATAAATATTTTCACAAGAAAATATAAAGTAATCATAAAATATAAATTTGAATTTGTAAAGATAATTTAAAACTAGAAAACTATTTTTGCATTGCATGGAATTTTTAAATTTAAATAGAGTTTATACAAAAAGAAATAACATGTTATTATGCTATATCACAACCAATTAAAGAATGATAAGACTCTTAAAATTAAAAAAAGTATTATGTAAATAAATTATTAAAATCAAGACATATTATTTTTATTGATATATATCGAAGTTTAAAATCTAAAGGTTAAGCTGGATTGATATTATAATAATTTTAAATTTTAGTGTATCTAAAAAATAAAAATATCTTTAATTTGATACATGATATGAAATTTTACAATTTAAATCAACTTAAAATTGAAAGTAAATTTAAGATATAGTATTTTTTATAAAAATATAAATTATAAATAAATATGTAATACATAAAACATAAATGGGGCTTAATAAGAATGATAATAGCTTTTGAAAATACTCTTATTATAGAATAAAAACTATAATTTAAAATACTCTCAATAAGAATGATAATAACTTTTAAACTGACGAGATATTATCAAAGGCTTGAAACACATTTACATTCCCATTTTCATTAGAAGACAAGAGATTACACAAGGCTTGAAATACATGAATGTTTTATATATGATTGATATTTAAATTCCTCTCCAAAATGATCATGCAATGTAAATCCCATGTTTTGGGTATAATTATTGGTCAACTTAATTTTATTTTATTTTATTTTTACTTTTAACGTTGAATAAATATGTAGTAATCAGTATTTCTGAAAGGGGAGAAAAGGTCATCTCATATCAGGAAGGGACGAAAATATATTATAAGCCTTGATATATGATAAGTCAACCCTCATTAACAAATTATACATTGTTACTGTTTTTTATACGAATTTTGCTAGTAAGTGTTTTAATTAAAAATATTTTTTTATTAAAAATTATGATAGAATTAACGCACTAAAAAATTTAATAAATGTATATAAAACAATTTCATTTTATTTTTTTAACTAATATTATTAGCTAGAGCAATGATTAATATTGAACTTTTTATACTATTTCAAATTGAGATAAATAGATTAATTTGTAATCTCAATATATAATGTGGATTTTTCATAAATCCTTATTTTCTTTAATACACTCTCACTTATACATTTCTCTGAGTTAGATCTATTAACACTAAATACAACTTATATATTTACATTACTCAGTAACTTGTTATAAAATATAAGATTTGATGAATTTATACGTATATTTCGCATAATTTTGAATATTTATAGTGTGTATATATATATATAGTGAATCTTTTTCCGTCGTATTACAGAGCTGTGAAGAATTTATAATGTGTTTGGGAGGAATAGGAAGGATGAAGATTGTGCAGATCTAAGGAGATAGGTACAGTTATGCAAGAGGGCCTTCCCTTGACTCCTTCTTCTTACTACCAAACATATCATAGGTTGACACTGCAGGCACGTCTCTGACAGAGACACCCTCTTCATCTCTTATAGTCCCCACACCTTTCCATTTATATATGTTACCCCCCTCCATAAATTTTTTAAAAAAATACCAAGATTTTTTCCCCATCACGTAGATTTTAGTTTATTTATTAGTGTTTTTTTCTCCGTTGGCTTTCTTCAGTTACATGCAGCTGAATGTATATGAAAATATGTGGTGCTCAATGAGCTCTATGTCGGCATAGGCCAGCTTCTTGACTTAGCACACTTCTGGTACGCTTGAATTACATCAAAATAATAATAATAATAATAATGCTTAAATATCTAAAAATAATAAATACTTTTTTTAACAAATATTACTATTTTTTAATAAATTAAGTAACTTCTTTATACATAATAATATATTTTATTTATTTATTATATCTTTCTCTATCTCCCGTCTAATATAACTATTTTATGGGTGTCAAAATATTGTGTTTGAATTCTCAATATATAGCAAAGCTGCTAGGGGCATATATAACACCTTGGAAAAGAAATCATCCAAATAAGGAAGCTTTTTGGATTCAAATTAAACTATATATAATGTTTGACTTTCAGGCAAAAAAAAAAAAACAAAAATGTATCCTTTAGAAGCATAAGGATTTGAATATGGATGGGGTAGGATACAAGTCTGAACATTTCATTTCGGATTTTAGGACAAAATTCTCGAAGATCTCAACCATATCAGAGGCTCACATGACTCAATTGGAAGCAATGATTACATACTCCCTGCAATAACACAATGAAAATGACCGTAGCATGCAGCAACCTTGGATCTCATTAGCCCTAGCTTATAGCTTTTTAATCAAGATATTTACGTAATATCCCTTATATTTTTATACAATACTTTTTTTTTATATTACATTAACTATTTTATTATAAGATATTATAATAAAACAATTTTACCAAAAAAGTTTATCTCAAAACAGAAACAAAAATATTGTTTTAAACGATGGGTCAAATTTATTTGAAAGAACAGAATAAAAGACAGAAACGAGTTGATTTTAATCCACATACCTTTAGTATCAAATCTCTTACTCATAATGAAAGGTGACAAAAGTAAACTTACACGTTACCTCCATTAAAATTTTTGTCTCCCTCTATGTTGAACCAATTAAAAAAAAGGAAGCCGTACGAAGCCAAAATTAGAGACCTTACAGGATGATGCAAATGGTGCAACTTGTGCCCACATTTCTGCAATCTTTATTCTTTACCGGAGAAAATCACAATCAAGATTGGCAAATCATTAATCGGGAACTAGGTGGGAAAAGATAATGATTCCCATTACGTTGAGATTCCTTGCTGTTTAATTAGAACAGCAAAGCTATGTGCCCTTGTTTTTATCTCCACTCATTAGGGATCGGAGCTTGTTGATGATAATGTTATGTTTGACCATATAAATTAGCATAACTGTAGCGAGCACTTGGCCTAATCTCCAGACCTAATTTTTATGATCAAGAAGGAAGCTACGTATGAGTGATATGAATCACTCCTGTGTCTCAAATCTGGGAGAAGATTAAACATATCTCTTATTGATGTTGAAGGATTTGTCTCAATATAACAGGCCATGGAGTATGTCCTAATGCAAGTGGTAGTCTTTTAATTTCCAGGGGACATCTATATATATACACACAGAGAGGGAGAGAAGAAGAAAGAGAATAAAGATCAGTCCACAATTTAAACTTAAATAATTCAATATTAATTTTTAAAAAATTATAAAAAATAAAAGTATTTCATTGTATTATTTTATTTTAATAGTTATTCTATTTTTAAAATATAAATAAATATTAATATTTAAACAAGTCCAACCCGTTTCTTTTTTTTCTCAGATTAAACTCTTTTAAAATGAGAACGTATATAAAAAAATTATAAAATCTAACCATCAAGCGCTAATGTAAATTATTCTATAATTTATTTAAATTAAAGATTAATATATATATATTTTTTAACTCTATACCTCAAAGTCTTGAAGAGTTAAAATCCTTTCAACTATATGTGATGAATAAACAAACACAAAAGAAGATAACTAACAGTTGGTTTAAGTTATTGATTAGCTTGCTTTATATTTCATACACATCACATCATTAGATTAACTGGTTAGTTCAGACCTACAATGCGCGAGTAGTTTTATATTTGACATGTATGAAAGTTTAACTACTTTTAATATTTCCTTTATAAGATCAGATTAATTTACTTTTTTTTTATTTTGTATAATTTAGAGGAATAGCAAGTAATTTTTTTCAAAAAAAAAATGTTCTTTTCTTTTTCTTTAATAACAAATATAAGAATGAGTTGTGATGGTATTGGTGAAGAGAATGACTTCATGGTCACTATGAAAATGGAGGAGAAGCTAGAAAGCTGGAGATGGAGATTACGATGAACGATGGCACGTAGAAATTTTTTTGAGTTTAACATTACAAATAAAAAATACTTATTTAAAACAAATTTAAAATTAAAGACTTAAAATAATATAAAAAATTAAATCAAAATAAAAATTAAGAAACTAATATACTTATTTAACTTAACGCATGTTACAAATTATAGAAACATGTATATAGACATGACATCACCTTCATTGGTGTACTGTGATTAGTTACATATCACATAATCACAAATTAATGACAAAATTTATTTTAAATAAATTCAATTTTATGAAAATTAAATTTGATAAAAAAAATTAAATTAAATTTAGTTATAATTATAAGTAC